CAACTTTGAGCGATTTTGACGAATTCTTTTTCGGACAGAGGTACAAAACATTTGCTCCTAGATGTCTTAAACCTCTGAATGAAACTTTCTTCTCATTCGTTTGGCATTTGGCTTAAATTCGCCAAGTCAGCAAAGTAACTTCGAATTCAGTTTTGTAAAACTGAGTGTGGAACAATTGTTCTAGCTATTACCATGTTTGAACAGAGTTTGCCGTCAAATTAATGAACCATGAGAAAGCTACGCATGTTAACGAACTAGGGAACAGTCTCATTTTATGATAATCGGTCACTTCACCACTTTGTAGTGTGAACCGCCCTATATCTTCCAGAGTAGAAACTTCACCCAGACCAGTGAATAATGAAAATTCAGGTACTTTGTACCCTCTAGGCCACGGATACGCTTGATCTACCCAATCAGGATATGGCTTTTGTAAGTTGGCTTAATAAAAGGACGTGTCCCAAGAGCCATTTGATCATATACTATCTCCATAATTTGATTCCTCAACATAATGTTAATATCATATGGAACTCCTATAGGTTGATTTATTGGTGGAATTACTTGAGGCCTAACATTTGGTCATTGGTTTGTGGTAAAAGCGTTATTGTTTAAACCATTATTACCGTTAACCTGAGTATATCCACCATCATTAACACGCGGGGTGTTCTGTCCATTGACTTGGACATTGTCTCTTGCATTTGGGTTACCCCCAGGTTTGATATTCCATTACCATTATTCAAATTTGCCACTCCACTACTCCCCTGGTTTGAAGTAGATGGGCCAAAAGGTAGTTCTACCCCTAGATTCGCACCCAGGACTGGGGAATTATGTCCCATAACCGTCCTGGCTTAAAAGTGGTTCCCTATACTTAGCATAACTGGTTGATAGATTTAGCCTATTAATTTATTCATGATTTCATTCAAAGTGTTCAGTTGTTTGGCCATGTTGTCATAGTGTACATTTCCATTTTGAGCAGCATTTCCATATTATGAACATTCTGTAAATTTACCTGTTCAACGACATCTTGTGTGAGTTCCTCGAGCAATGCACNGTTGTCATAGTGTACATATCCATTTAGAGCAGAATTTCCATATTATGAACATTCTGTAAATTTACCTCTTCTACGACATCTTGTGTGAGGTCCTCGAGCAATGCACACATGGTTCGAAGACTTAACTCTGTCATTGGATCGTAACGACTTTGACTTTGTCCCTCTGTTCGTAAAGCAATTTGATGCTCTTCATATCGTTCGATCACAGACCGGACTATTCGTTGGCTTTCTGGCTCCTTATCAGAGTTTTTACGAGGCGTATTGCTTTCACTTTTCGTATCTTCAAACACCAATTGTCCCACCGGCATGTCAAATTGTTTCGCATGGAAATCGAGCATCGCTAACAATTAAAAGATGATTCAGACGATTCTGCAAGGAACAACATCTCGAGATAAAGTCCCAACGATGGGTGTTTTATTGATGAAGATTACAATATGAACGAAGCAAAATGCCTACAAGAGGCACAAATACACTGAATTTGCAAAGTAATTTAAGGTTAACAAGAAAATAAATAAAATTACATAATTTTCTGTTTGAGAATCGTTTGATCTTATGTCTCTTCTAAATTCTTTTTTTATCTCTTATACTCTTTCGGCAGTTTTCTTTGTAGAACCGTTTGAAAACTGTTTCTCGCTCTGTAACTATCCACTTTCTCCATTATGGATGACTTGTCAAGAAACTACCGTTTTCAACCGCTACCATTACTCTCATCATTTAACTCCTTGCAACCAAGATTCTTAGATTGTGGAATGTGATAAGAATTAACTTCTTCAATAACCGTTGCTTCGAACAGTAACCAAAACGCTATATTCGCCCAGATCTTGGCCCACACAAGATTGAGCGATGACAAGCTCGTCCAGATCTTGGGCGTCTCGACTTCTCGTAGGCTTGAGCGATGATAGGCCTCAATGACATAACTCCATCTTAAGTTTTTATATGGGATACTTACAAAAATATCCTTAAAATTATGAGTGTTTTGAAAAATCATGCGAAAGGTTTTTAGTAAGTAAAAAATACTGTGTAAAATAAAAAAGTGACACAATGTCACTTTTTTTATAAATATTGTCACTTTTTTTAAAAAAGTGACACAAACTCAAAAAAAGTAACAAAATTAAAAANCAGCTCGCCTGAGCCGAGCAGGTCAGCTCGCCATGGACGAGTAGCTCGTGGGATATTTGAGTTGGTGAAACAGTGATCGAAATGGTCACTGTTCAAAAGTTGCAACAGTCACTAAACTTTCAAAGTGGCTGTTTTGGCTACTTTTTTGTTTTTTTCCTTCTTTTTTTATTCTATAAATATCCCAACCTATTGCCAAATTTTTTCACTCAACATTCCAACAAAACAATAATAAAAATTGTCACTTTTTTATAAAAAGAAATGAGACAATGTCACTTTTCATAAAAATGGTCACTTTTTAATAAAAAGAAATGAGACAATGTCACTTTTAAAAGTTAAGTGTCACTTTTTTGTTAGGGATGTTTTGAAAAATCATATGAAAGGTTTTTAGAAAATAAAAAATACTATGTAAAATGAAAAAGTGACACAATGTCATTTTTTTAATAAAAATAGCCACTTTTTTTTTACTTTTTAAAAAAAAAAAAGTGGCACAAACTCAAAAAAAAATGACAAAACTAAAAAAAGTGACACTCTCAAAAAGTGATACAAACTCAAAAAAGTGACACGAACTCAAAAAAAGCGACAAATACCAAAATGACAGGTTGCTTGTTCCTACATTCATCATAGTGACGTTAATGAACTACATTTTGAGATTACTTAAGTATAATACTCTAGCCAATTTTCTTCATCACATGCAGCAAGCCAACAGTCTATCTTATCCACTTCTCTTTTCGGCTCCAAACTTCATCTTTCGATTAGTTAATATGAATATAAATGTTGGCTAAGAGTTCAAAAGGATCC